TGGATGGATGGATGGATGGATGGATGGATGGGCAGGTAGATGAATGGGCAGATGGATTGGTGGGTGGGTGGATGGATGGATGGATGGATGGATGGATGGGCGGATGGATGGATGAATGGGCGGATGGGCGGATGGGCAGATGGGTGGATGGTAGCTGACTGCTGGCTGCTTGTGTAGATCTGATGCTGGACCAGAGCTGAGCACTAGAACTGAGTTGTATAACAGGAGACACTGAGACCCTGAGCAGACGCCATGGTGAGCTGGGGAGAACAGGTGGACAACACCCACAGGAGGGAGCCCCCGTTTGGGCCTGCTAGGCACCCCAGTCTTATCGAGGACTTATTTGGGTTCCACTTGAATGTGAGGCTGTGTGGAAGAGCTAACGGACATGACAGGAGACAGAACCCAACTGCACTGCTGACCTGGTGGCCACAGCAGGACAAGCTTCACAGCAACAAAAGTAAACCTGTGGTTAATCCCAACCCTAACCAAGTCCCAGCAACACAATCACCCCACACATAACCGGGTGAGGTGCAGCCGGCTGCAGGAGGGCTGAGGGCGGGCTACTGGATCTCTCACTGGAAATGGAGACAGTGTTACAGTTTAAAAACAGAAAAAAGTAGCCCAAAGTGTTAAGGGACCCGTTTGGGGCCCCATGGGTTCTGCACTCCTATGTGCACTGTTTGCTCTTCACAGATTAGGCCGAGCCCACGGGCAAGATGAGCCTGAATTCCTGCCCAGACGCGTGCTGGGACAGGACCAGCCTCAGCTGAGCTGGGAGGAATCCAGGGATGGGGGTCCAGCAGAAGTGGGCTCCTGAAATTGGGAGTTCTCAAGCAAGTACTGGAGGAAGGGGGTATCACAGAGCTCCCCATGGGCTGTTTGGTATTCTAGGGAGGTGAGGAGCCCACAGGTGGCCTGTGTTGGGGCCTGAACCTCTGGTGGGCAGGCTGCTGCTTATATTTGTACAGACTGACAGAAAGTAAGAGCCGCAGATCCGCAGACCCACAAAGTCAAGGCTGGAGCTGGCTGCATATCAGACCATCCACGCTGTCCACTGCCTCCACCGTGGCTCCTGCTCGAGTTGGGATGTAGCTAAAAATAGCACCTCCTGGTGCTGCCAAATGTGGCTGGGCACCCAGCCAGGAAAAAGGGGCTGCCCCGGTGCCCTTGTTCCCACCCTGATCCCCCTCACCTTTCACACTTGGCTTCTGTGCAATGGCACTGTCCCAGACCCCTCAGCTGAGGGCAATGATGTCCTGAGACTCCCTGGCCACTCAGGGCCTGACCCCAAATCCTGAGGGGAGATAGGCCTTTGGTTCTGCACCCCGTCCTTCATTTCACCTCGAGTCTCTGAGGTCCTCTCCTCTGTACCCGATCTGTCAGCCCCACCAGGCTCTGTCCATGCTCTGTGCTGCTCCCCCCAGGGAGGTGGGGCACTTTGGGTGCTACACGCAGCCATGACACCTGTCAGGGGTGGATCTCTGCCCCCTGCAGACAGGCTGGTTCACTCAGCTTTTCTGCCTTTTCCTTTCTAGCACCCTCCACTGGCAGGTGGGCTAGCCCGGGGCAGGGAGCAGAGGAGGGTGGGTCTAAGCAGGGGCAGCAACCCCAAACCACAGGCACAGTGGTGGGGTATGTGGGGGGTACAGAGGAGGGGCACCGTCCCTGAGGTGGCCATTGGAGACCAGTGGTCATCCTGGTGGTGGTGGTGGGGGCGTGGGACTGGAGGGCAGAGATGTGGGGAGACAGGGCCCCGCACCACGCTGAGATGGTCTCAGGCCTGGCTGTGCCCCCTGCCCCCTGACCTACCCCGGTGGGCCCAGCTGTGGCAAAACTGCTGGGAACGTTATTCTAAGCAAAGATTCAAGTGGTGTGAGCGAAGAGCCGGAAACGAAAAGCGTCTTAGGAGCAACAATAACTTCATTATGTGAAAATGAATAAGGGCTTGTGTGTGGCGGGGAGTCCTCCCCCACCGCTGCGTTGACAGAACTCCTCACCCGTGTGAAACAAACCTTCTAGAAGCCTCTCCAGCCCCAAGGTCTTCCCAGCTGGAAGAAGGCAGGGCTGGGATCGACCACTTTAGATGTTATGGGTGAGGGGTGCAGTGAGGGCCTGGCGGAGGGAGAGTGGGTGTGGGCAGTGCCCCGAGGCGGAGAGGAAATACCAGTCAAAGAAGAAACTGAGGTGCAGAGATGGCATACCCCATCTTGCCTGCCATCTCCTTGTCTCTGGCTCTAGCTGGTTCTTTTTGATTAGAGAAGACCCCCATTCCCATCCCTCAGTCTCCACAGTCCTGGCCCCACCCTGTGGGCCCACTGAGCACCCACCCACCCACCCACCCACCAGGCACCTCCCAGCTCCACCACTGAGAACCCCGGCCTGCCTGCCTGTCTGTCTCCCGAGGCTCTCAGGATGTGGTGGGAGGGAAACGACAGCTTTCCCCAGGACTCTGGCCTGGCTTCTGTTCCATCTAGAGACAGTCTTGGGGTGGTGAGCTCTGGGCCTGGAGGTCACCTCAGAGGTCAACAGGCAATAACCACGTGCCTATGGGAGGCGTCCACCAGAAATAGCTCCTGGTTGTTAAGCTAAGTGACAATGGTGGGGCCCTCCTGGTGTAGCGCTGTAGGATAAGCACTCGACTGCAAGGTCGGCAGTTCAAACTCACCATCCGCTCCTCAGAAACCCTATACAGGGTCACTAAGAGTCGGAACCCAGTCGACGGCACTTCACAACAATGCAGGACCCAAGAGTTCAATTCCGGGCCCATGCGTCTCATGCTCAACTGCCCCTAGGGCTTGTATGCTACTCTGACAATGAACAGGTTTCAGCCAAGATTCCAGACAAGATGGAGCAGGAAGAAAGGCCTGAGAAGCTACATCTGAAAAGCAGCCAGTGAAAACCCTACGGCTCTAGACTGCTGTGGAGAGGGGGTAGGACTTTGGTTAGGTTGTGCCTGGGGCCACTATGAGTCAGGGCCCACCCCACAATGGGTAGCAACATTACGCTGTGACTGAACTTCCAGGCTGGATCCAGATCCTCCCATCCCTGGCCAGGACGGACAGCCTGTCCACACCCAGACTGGCATTGCCCAGTGGTAGGGAGACAAAGCCCCAGGAACTGCTTCCTGCAGCTAAACACACACACAGGGTAAACACACACTGAAATGATTAGCAAATAAGAATTCTCCAAATGTGGGCTCCAGGATTAGAACAGCTTCTAGAAGGCAAGTCCTGGAAGGCATGGAAGCCAAGGAAGGCATGTGGCCGCTCCCAGGACAGCCAGCACGCCCCACAAGAAGCCGTGTTGGAGAGAGCCCTGGTTCCTCTGTAAACTGTGCGCCTCTCAGACTACGAGACGCCTCAAGAAGCCCATGGCTCTCGAGTCCGTTCAGAAGGGTTCCAAGGCAGTCCATCTTTATGGGAGCAGACAGCCTCAGTTTTGTCCAGCAGAGAGAGGCTGGTGGGTTTGAACCTCCAACCTTGAGCTTAGCAGCCCAAAGCTTAACCCACAGTGATGCAGGTGTGGTGCAAGTGGCTTGTTGATTTGCCTTGAGGTTGGCGGTTCAAAGTCACCCAGAGGTATCTTAGAAGCTAGCCCTAGCAGTCTGTCCCCAAATGCTCACAGCCTTGAATACCCCGTAGACCCCAACTCTACTCTGCACACGGGGCCGATCCGACAGCACTAATGGAGGACCATACAAATCCTACATAGTGGAGGTGCAGACTGCGAGCAGAACAGATTCGAGGAGCAGCTGGATAAGTGGGCCAGCGGGCTTTGGAAGGAGAAATTCCGCCTCGTCCTGCTGGGTTGATAAGGGGACATTGAAGGAGAGTACCATGGCAAAGAAATGAGCAGTGTGCTCTCTGACTTTACTAATTATTGCTGGCCCCAATGACATTAACTTACTGATAACCTCATAAAGCGATGTTTGTGCTTCCAAGAGCTTACATTAACCAGATCACTTGGAATAAATGAGAAGATTCCAGAGACTTTGGACTTGCACCAGAACATGGATCGCTTCCTTGGTAAACAAGGAAGGTTTTTATATGTGATCATGACATGGTGTTTGATTTACACAAACATCAGATTTCATGGACGCTAGTAACGAACAGTTATTTATTTTTCGATTTATGTTTTTTCCTTTTTTTTTTTTTTTTTTAAAGTCACATGGCCTAGCTTTTAGCCATGCTAACAGAGAAATATTTGTTTCTTAGGAAACTAACACAGTGAATTTCATGTCAAGCCAAGTAGATCCTGACACCACAGAGGAGGAGAATATTATTATAAAACTGCATTTTACATAACTTCAGCCAGAACACTAAAAGGGGCCAGATCTGATTTCAGATTGTGTTACGTTTAATCAGAAGTGAATGAGTCTAGTTTTCGTGGGTTTTCTGTGGTGGGATCACTTCAGCGAGTTTAACAAACAGGGAAATCAAGAATTTAATGACTTCTGTGGATTAAGGGGTGGGCTGCTAACCACAAGGTCATCAGTGCAAACCCATCGATTGCTCCATGGGAGAAAGACTTGGAGACCCTAAAGCATACTCTACTCTGTTCTATCGGGTCACGGGGAGCTAGAATCCACCTGATGGTAGTGGTGGGTGCAGTCCTAAGTCACCTTTGGTGGTGTGACCACTAACATCAAGTTACAAGTTCAAATCCTCGCTGCGGCTTCACAGAAGACAGATTTAGCAATTTGCTTCTGTACAGATGACAGCCCAGTCTGTTCTGTAACACCTAAATCATAATCAACTAAACAGCAGCGGGTTTGGTTTGTGTATTTTGGGGGTGGTCCTAACACCCCCCCCCCCACACACACACCTCCTTTGGATGCCAGAATTTGGACTCCACAGAGACATGTTGCTTTGGAAGATACACAATGATTGCGTGGTCACCCCTCAAATCAGGACCAGCTCTGAGGTCCCAGGTGCAGCAGGTGTTCTGGGCACTGGGCTCCTCCTCTGGGAAAGGCCCACAGGTCCAGGGGCACTGGGCTCCTCCACTTCAGGGACCAGCTCACTTCTCACCAAATGGTAACTAAGTAGCCATTTCCCGAGGTTACCTTTCTTCCAAATAACAGACTGGCTTCTGAATTCAACAAGAGCACCGGTGAGTGCTGCGCCCCCTCACAAGCAAACCTCCATTTGTCACACACTGCGAGCTTTACTAATGGAAGGCTTGAGGCAGCCCCGCAGCCAACAATTCTATCAGCACCATTTCCCAAACAGCACGAGCTCACTTCGTGTCTGGTTGAATTCTGATCACTGTTGCAACATGTGCAACCTATCCCTCACACTACACACTACTGTCCAACCGACAGACTAGTAGAGCGGCAACGTTGCTTTCGGGGGCACTGGGACACTGAAATGGTCATGTGACTTGCTTTATTGCGGCAGCCTGGAGCTGGCCTGGAAATATCTCCGAGGCATGCCTGTGTATGAGACCAAACAGTTAACATTTACCCTAAAACAAAGCTGGAAAGCCAAGAAAGGGCAGCGAGGCTGGATGAACCCACACAGAATGAACAGGATGAAAATGTTAACAGATTGTGAACAATGTATCCAATGTCATGGAACAAGTTACGTAAGAATTGTTAAGTGAACACACACTCACATATCTGTTCCTATTATTACTGAGTGCCATGGAGTCAGTTCCAACTCACAGGGACCTTGTATAGAGTTTCGAGGAGCAGTAAGTGGGTTTGAACCACCAACCATGCAGTTCAAAGGGACCCTGTGATCGAGCTCTTATCCTACAGCGCCACACCAGGATTATCACAAGGTCGACAGTTCAAACCCACCAGCTGCTCCTTGGAATCCCTATACAGGGTTGCTATGAGTCAGAACCGACTGGATGGTATTTAACAACAACAACAACAATGATTCACAGCCCCAGAAACCCTATATATGGTCGCTATGAGTTGGAACCGACTCCACAAACACACACCCACCACCACCACCTTATATATACAAAGATAACGAACTGGAATGACCCCATGGACTACGGACGGCAGTTTGGGAAGGTTTCATACTGAGAAAACGTTATGAACGTGGAAGAGAAGATAACAGTGTGTGGTGAACCTCGCTAAGTCTGGCAGACTTCAGTCTCCACAGGGTTTCACTTCGTCATTTTTCTGCTACTTTACTGAGTGTGCCCCCTTTTAAATTTCTTCACCCAGAAGTGCCTAGTAAAAATATAAACCGGAGAGCTGTGGAAATGTTCCCATGAGGCGGCGGCTGTCTTCGTTTCAGCCAAAGACATCTCCATCTCCGGGAGGTTTATTAGCAGAGAGCTGCAGCCATTGCATGTGGCAACGCATCCGACTTTCGGTTTTAACTCATTTCCAGGTACATGACAGTGATTCCGGTACCCAAACACCTAGGCTGTCAGAGGGCAACTTCCAGAAGGCGCTGGGGAGCCCGCGCTCCGGCTACCTCCCGCAAACAAGTTCCCCGGGCACCCTACGGACAGACGCAGCTCCCCTGGCTCCCTAAAGCCGCCCCCGCCCAGGGTCCAGCTGGTCTCCAAGGCCTCTTCCTCTCCCGGTCCTCGCGCCCTACTCACCCAGGAGTAGCCAGAGGCCGCGCCGCGGGAGACCCCCGGCCATGGCGCCAGCGAGCCGCCGCTGCCCCGCCAAGGACACAACCGGAGAGAACCGCGCGGGGTGGACGCAGCCGCGGGAGGATCGCGTGGGTCGCAGGGGCGGCGCCGGGCGGGCGGAGAGCGGTCCTGGGCGCTGGGGGTTTGGCGCACAGAGGTTCGCCCCGCGCGTAGCACCTGCCAGCCGGGGGCTCCTGAGACTGGGCGCCACGACCTCAGCGAGCGCACGCGGACAGAGCGCGCCCCCGGGGTCCCAAAGTTCAAAGTCAAGACCCTAGGACCCTTGGCCAGCTTGGGAGGGCCCCAGGACAGCCCCCGAAGGGCGGGGTTTCACTGAGTGCCTCAGCTCCGCCCCTGGCCCCGTCCCGCCCCCACCCCCCATTCCCGCAAAGTGCCCCCCAGGCGATCGGGAGCAAAACCTGTCCGGGACTGGGGACGCGCGCAATGGGGTTGCACGTGCATGGACAGGCAGCGACGAGAACCTCTGGCCCTGGACTCTTCCCGTAGGGCGCAAGGCTGGAGGGGACCGGGGCTACCCGGCGGCACGATGGCGAGGCCACTCATCTGGGTGTGTGCAGACTGCGGGAGAGGCGGGCACGCGGGGACGAACTGAGGGGCCGACGGGGGCGGCTGGGGCGCTCAGCTGTGTAGGTGTGGGCTCCTGGGTGGTTTGGGGGCCTGTTTGCGCATGCTGCGTAATGAGCCGCCCTCGGGGCTGGGAGGAAGTCGGACTCGGAGTGGCGGCCTATCTCCCCGCCGCTACAGTTTCCGAGCATACAGCAGCGCCCAGCACCTTGTCCTCTGGCATTGGACTGACCCCCACCCCACTTCTTCCTGCTAACAGGGCCCGAAGGCTGGAGTCTGCTGCCACCCGCCGGCAGCTCGGCACACTGCTGGCCTGAATGCCTGCGCAGCCAACAGCAGGGTCACTGGCCCCGACAGACTCACTAGAGAAACCCGCTGGCCTGTGGTCCTGTGCCCGCCGTGCCCAGTCATCTGTGGGCAGGGTGCGCTGGGCTTCAGAGCCATGGCCTCTGCTGCTGTATGCTTGCCCTGCACTCGTGGGCTCCCTCACTCATCCCAGGACCAAGCTACTCCAGGCGGGAGGCTGGCACTCTGCCTTCCTAAGACAGGGTTGAAGGCTGAGTGGAACCCACCCCAGGGGCTCTCTCTGATGACTTCCATGTCTGCACCTGGGTTCCTGGGAAGATGCCCCAGGAATTCCTACAGGGCTGGCTCTGCAAAGGTGGTCTCTTGGGGGGCAAACACTCCCAGACTTGGCCACCTCTAACCTTGGACAAAGTTGGCCCACAATTCTGTCTAATGTTAACAGGTGGTGTGCAAAACCATTCCTTCCCCAGAACCCTGTCATAGGATAATGCAAGAGGGAGAAAATGGTCACTTTACTGCACACGTGGAGGCATTAAAGAATCTAGACAGGTCAACAAGACAATGCTATTAAAAACTCAAAATCTAACATTAAAATGACTTCTGCCTCTAGCCATGATGCTGTTGGCAAACAACGCAAAGTACAGCCAGAATGCTCCTTGGAAGTCAGAATACACTTGGACCTGTTATGAGCAGGAAGCAATCCCTGGAGGACATCGTGCTTGGTAAAGTGGAGGGTCAGCAATGAGATGGACTGACATATTGTCTGAAACAGCAACACCTGTGAGGAAGGCACAGGCCTGGGCAGGGGTCCCTTGTTTGAAGGCAGCTGACTTAACAGCACCTGACAACATAAGGGTTTATTTTTTTCAAGATTTTTATCCAAGAAATGTATCCAATTGTTGAAATTATATAAAAGCTGTGTGGAGACCTGATGCCAATGCACCAACACCTGGTTCATCTCTCGTTTTCAATTATGGATGTTTTCATTATTTTTGTACTTCAGCTAGTTTGAGTTACATTTTATCATTTGAACCAACAGTCCCCTGACTAACATACGAACGGTCTGCCAAATTCTAAGAAATACTGAGGCAGGTTACAGACCCCCACGGGCAAGAAAGAGAAACAAAGGAGACAGTACAACAGAGGGCCACCATCAAGTCTGGGGGGACGGGATGGTCACTGCTGCTGAGGGCGCTGTGTGGAGGTGGGCGGCTCATCCTGTGGTAATGAGAGCCCACCTGCTGTCTTCCATTTCTACAACTCTGGGAGGGTGGACACTTGGCTCCATTTTACAGATCAGGCAACTGAGGCTTGGGAAATGAAGGCACAGGAAGTGGGATCCAGAGGCCTGGCCTCAGAGTTTGCATTCTGAGCAAGAGGAACAAGCTGGTACCTCAGCCTCCTCAGTCAGCAAAGTCATTTACAGCGATGCCTACAGTTCCAGGAACCCTACGAAGGCAGATAACAGTCACGGAAGGGTAACCACGGACATACCACCAATAAGAGAGCCACAGACAAGTCACATGACTGCCAAGGTGGAAAAGTTGAGGCCTGGAGAAACAAGGCTGGTTGATTCTGGTTGCCCCAGGCTTCATTGTAAATACCAGGGTCTCTGACCTGTCAGGTGACCCTGTCATGTAATAAGGCAGAAGTTGTGTGTAAATATTAGTAACTGGGGCTTTATTTAAGTACTTATGGTGGTGCTATAGGATAAGCACTGACTACTAATCACAAGGTTGGCAGTTGTAATCGACCAGCTGCTCTGCAGGAGAAAGATCTTCACAGCCTGGTAAACCAGAAACAGGGTCGCTGAGTTAGACTTGATTCCATGGCAGCAGGTGTGTGGGTGGGTGGAGCATTTATAGGACACTTAAGGCTCATACATTACTGCTTCCCCCCAAGAGTCAGAATTCAAGTAAAGATACACTCTGCAAATCATCGTACATTGTTCCCAACAGTGTCCCCATGGTAACAATCACATCGTTCTCCTCAGAATGCTTCTGAGAAGCCAAGATGGCAAGACTTCATTTCACGTCCACTGGATGTGTGATCAAGAGGGACCAATTCCTCAAGGACAGCACTCTTGGCAGAGGGCAAGCATGCAAGAGGAAGACCCCCCACGGGATGGACTGATGGACAGTGGCAGCAGCCATGGGCTCACACACTGTGGTGTCGGGCAGGGCGCTGTTTTGTTCTGTTGTACACGAGGACGGTTGCCAGGAGGCGAAGCAGACTCAAAAGCACCCAACACCACATTTCCCATTGCTGATGAACAAGTTTTGCCCAGATTTGGTGGCTTACAAAGATGCAAATGTTATTTTCTTACACTTCTAGTCCAATGCCGGTCTGTCTCCCCAGGCTGTGTTCCCTCTGGAGACTCTGGGAAGAAGCCCTCTCTTGCCCTCCTCAGTGTCCAATGGCCACCACAATCCTTGGTCCATGGACCCTTCCTCCATTTTAAAGCCAGCTACACTGGGTCAGTTCTTTCCACAAACCCATCTCCCTGGTTTTCTCTTCTACCATCGCTTCCCACTTCGAAGGATTCATGATGAGGTCAGTCTGAGTATACTTCCCATTTCTAGACACCCTAACAGTACCTGTTTACTCGTGTAGAGCAGCCACACCTTTCGAGGCCCCTACCACACACACTAACACGTTACTATGTGCCAGGTACGCAAGTGGGCTGCAGAAAGCTGGTGGGAAAATTCCGCTATCTTTTCACTCCGTTTTTCCAGCAACGTTTTGAAGCCTCCTTGCATGTACTTGATAATCAATAACTGTGATCAATATTGAAATAGGACTTAGAGCCAAAATATACAGAATACTGGCCTGGGAACTATTTCTTCAAAAACAAAGCGCCGGTGCTATTAGGCTTCTCAGTCACACATACCCATCACCTCCTTTGAGCAGAACGAAGATCGGCTTCAGGCCCAGCCCACTAGGAGTTCCGAGTCCCATTTCTTATACTGGTGGTTGTGGAGAGCTGTCGAGTTGGTTCTAACTCACAGCGATCCCGTATAGGGTTCTTGAGCACCAACTGTTGTTGTTGTTGTTAAATGCCGCCGAGTCCGTTCTGACCTATAGCAGCCCTGTACAGGGTTTCTGAGAACAGCTGGTTCAAACCCAAGATCGAGTGCTTATCCTACACCAGAGTCTGAGCACTGGCTTTGAATCACTGACCTTGTGGTTAGCACTACCCTCCGTGTAGTGTCACACCACAACTGTTTTCTTGTACTGTTGTTGTGTGCTGACCAGTCAGGTCTGACTCACAGCTGCTCTGTACGGGATACGCCCAAGGAGGGGCTGGTGGCTTTGAATTGCCAAGCTGTGCTTAGCAGTCCAGTGCTTACCTTACAGTGGCTCACTAGGACTAGTCTTAGAGTATTCCCAACACTGCAGCTCTCTGCTTGTCTCAAAACAAACAAACAAAAAAACAACGAATATCAACATATTCTAATTAATATTCTAAGAATAAATTGTGGGAAAAAAGGGGTCCTTAACAATAATGTCAGAATATTAGGATTATCTAAAACTTTGCCAGTGAAGACATTTGGAAATTAGGACAATTTGATCAATCTTTTAAAATTCTACAAGCATTTTATATACCGAACTGATGTCAAGTAGAGGTTTTCACTTCAGTCAGGTTCCAATAGACTTGTGAGCAATGCCCATTTCTAAATCCCTCTGGAACCTAGAGGCCAGCACATCTTGGTCTGGAGACTCGAACGAACTTCTCTCACAGTATCTGAAAGGCATCACTTCAAATTAAGTGTTGTATCAAATGCAGCGACCTTTGGCCTCAGTGCTGCTCAGCACGAACCCTACTTCTTAAGAACCCAATGACTGGATGTCCAGGTGGTCACTTTCTTCAACAAGAACAGAGCCTTTTCATGTAAGGAACGAGGTGAGATTTGACAAACAGCAAGAAGTACCTGTAACTCCAGGATTTGAATAATCTGATCTGTGGATAAGACCAATGACTCATTTTGCTCACAGGGTTCTTTTAAATTCTCTTATACATTCTAGAACTCAATTCCTGGTAGATCCTTGGGATAAATCTGGTAAGAACTGAGACGAAGGAATGCATGAAATAGCATCTCATTCTCAAAAATCCAG